AAAGCTGTGGTAACACATGGTGTGCTCTCCTACTCTGAAGATGGCCATACATGTATAGATTTCTTTTGATCAGCCCACAGATGCCTTAACCATGATGAACAACACTGATGGATGAATTTCTAGCTGAGGCTATTGTATTCTAACAGCTGTCTCAACCAGTCTCTTCTTCTGTGTACAGAAGGTGTCTCTTTTTCTGGTGTCCATGCCACTGTCTGCACATCATAGACACATCCTATTAGGATGTGTCTAGAATTACATACCCAATGGAATATTGCATTTTTGGAACAATGTGTTTCAGAACATATGGTTCCAAGAAGTTTGAGATGGGATGTCAGTCCCCAGAGAGGTAAAGCTGAGCCTGAAGAGAGGTGTAAATATTTTAATGAAGCAGAATTAGGTTTTTTGAAGTTCCTCATTCACAGGAAGCAAAACCAACTATATAGATTGGATGGAGAACTTAAAGAACTTAAAGAGAAATTATGCCGATATAAAGAGAAGAAACTGATTATAAAGAATGCTCATCTAATTTAAAGAACCTTTTGGTTAAAGAAGAAAAATTAAGAAATAAAAGAAACATAATAGAGATACAATCAAGACGTCACTTGTAAAATGGGGATTGTATATGATTGGCAAAATAAAATCAGAAAAGAGGAAAGAACAGTAGCTTAAGATGATGATGAATCCCAGGATTGTGAAGAGAGCCACAATCCTCAAATTATGGAGACTAAAAACATAGGGAGGAAACCCATTGTATCTGGGAGTTTCTATCCTCCCATTATGAGGATATAGATCTCCAGAGAGAACTACTATAGATCTCCAGGGAGAAAGCCAAGGGGTAGACAGCAATATGACCCCCCGAGGAAAGGAGGAGGAGACCCTCTTACAGATCTCCCTATAGAAATTATGATAATGGATATGAGTACAGGAGATATGATTACACAAGAGAGGCCCCAGTATTCTTACAATGTCCCTATTAATATTAGATTTCAACCTTTGATGGAACATAAAAGTATAATGGTGGCCAATATCCAGAGAGGCAATACAGTGAGTGGCAGATGTGTAACTAGAACCTTCAGGGTCCCGGTACAAGAAATCATGAAGGGCCCCTCTTCAAAAAAGCAGTGGCAGTGCTGTGTGGAGGATTGGTATCAGTGGCAGTGCTGGGGGAAAAAGGGAATTGAAATCAATCTCAGTGCTGGTGATGGGAGGATGGGATCTGTGGTAGCGGTGGTGGTGGTTAGGGGGTTGTGGAATAGGATCAGTCAAATGCAGTGGTGGGGGCCCTGGGGGGGATGGGATCAATCAGAGATGGTGGCAGGGGCCTGGGGGGGGGGGTGGAATCAGTCAAAGGCAGTAGTGGGGGCCCTGGGGGGGAATCGGATCAGTCATAGGCGGTGGTGGAGGGCCTTGGGGAGTGGGATAAGTCAGAGGTGGGGGGCCCTGGGAGGATGGGATCAGTCAGATGTGGGGGTGCGGCCTCTGGGGGGGTGGGATCAGTCACATGAGAAGGCGGGGGCCCTGGGGGGGGTTAGGATAAGTCAGATGTGGTGGGGGGCCATGGGGGGGAAGGGATCAATCAGAGGTGGTGGTGGGGGCCCTGGGAGAAGAATGGGATCAGTCAGAGGTGGTGGTGGGGGCCCTGAGGGGGTTAGGATCAGTCAGGTGCGGTGGTGGGGGGCCCTGGGAGGATGGGATCAGTCAGAGGTGGTTATGGAGGCCCTGGGGGGGTGGGATCAGGCAGAGATGGTAGGGGCCCTGGGGAGAATCAGTCAGAGGTGGTCTGAGCCCTGGGGGGAATCAGTTAGATGCAGCAGGGTTGATGAGATCAGTGCCACTGGCACTCACTTGTTCTCAGTGTGTCAGTGTATCCATCTGGCTCCCTTCTCATGCCGGTGCCTCCAGTGATGCCTTTCTCTCTCGGATCTCCGAGCACAGTGGCAAGCTCCTGCCCTTCATGCCTACTGGCTGTTAGCTGCTCAGCTGACTTTCTCTTCCAGTCATCTGCAGCAATAGGCAGGGGGATCGCTGTGTTGGAGTGACAGTGTAACTGCTCTGCCTCAGTGTGCTTTCTTCCGGACTCCGGACTCCCATAAGAATAAGTGACAGACAGCGGCCCCCATCCTACAGTGGGCACAGACTATCTCTAGACTTGGGTCCCTCCACAGTGGCAGAACCCAGGGCCCAGACACATATGCGACTTCTGTGACCCTGATAGTTCTACCACTGGTGGGAGGAATATTGGTTTTCAGCCAACCTTTAACAGATATGAACAGAACCCACCCAATCCATCTATGGGAGGTTTTCCTCAGCCCAATCAAGGTCACAAAATAATAGCAGAAAGAGAAGAGGGACTAGAGGGGGGAGGAGGCTCCAGTAGAAAAAAGAAAAAGATGTAAAGGGAAATTGTATTTTTAACTTCAGTAGTAAAACCCTCAACAGGAGAAGAAATCCATCCCAGGTAAAGGTTTAAAATTTGCCCCACCAGTTAAACTCAATAAATTCCATACTTTTATGGACATAAAAAAGTGTGCTCGCAAATTGAATATTAAAAGAGAAGTGTGGACTTATTTTTTTTTTTTCCGCAATTATACTTACCTGGGTGGATCCAGCATCAGTCCAAAGCTGCATCTGTCCCCGCCGGCTCTAAGTGTGAGAACTCAGCGATCACATGACTGATGATTGCTAAGTTCTCACAGCTGCTCTGAGCAGAGAGTGGTCAGTCACCGCTGTCTGCTATGCTTCCCTAGCACTCACTGGAGTGTTGGGCTATGGAGGGGGAGGGAGCAGCTAGCTCAGGCTCTTAGCAGCTCACTGTGAGGCTGAAACCAGGTGCCACTCCAGACTTTGGGCTGGATCCCAACTTTGAAGTTGGGATTGTTCCCCAGCCTGGACTGGCTGAGTGACATCAGCCAACAACGGGCTTCAGCCTGTTGTCTGCTGAATACGAGTCACAGGAGTCCAGAATGAACTACACTCCTATGATCTACAGGAGAAGTATAGCCAAAAGAGCTTTGGCTGTAATTCTCCTTTAAGAGATATGTGATGACTAATCCAATGAAAGTAAATAGACACATCGCTACTGTAGGATTTGATAGGAGAAATGTGCTTGAAAGTGTCCAAACTTATATATAGGGTCTGGGATTAAAAATACCATTTTATTCTTTGTAGATGACACCAAGCTGTGCAGTAGAATAACGTCCTTACAGGATGTCTTCAACTTACAAGCCGACCTCAATGCACTGTTTAATTGGGCAACTATTTGGCAAATGAGGTTTAATGTTGATAAATGTAAGGTTATGCACTTGGGGGTAAGAATATGCATGCATCATACATACTAGGGGGAGTTCAACTGGGGGAATCAATGGTGGAGAAGGATCTGGGAGTTCTGGTAGATCACAAGCTTAATAATGGCATGCAATGCCAAGCTGCGGTTTCTAAAGCGAGCAAAATCCTCTCTTGTATTAAAAGAGGTATAGACTCCAGAGAGAAAGATATCATATTACCCCTGTACAAATCATTAGTAAGACCTCATCTGGAATACACAGTTCAGTTTTGAGCACCAATTCACAAAAAGAACATTGGGGAACTGGAGAAAGTACAGAGAAGGGCAACCAAACTAATAAGAGGCATGGAGGAGCTCAGCTATAAAGAAAGATTAGAGGAACAGAATTTATTCTCTCTTGAGAAGAGGAGATAAAGGGGGGATATGATCAACATGTATAAATCCATCAGTGGTTCATATAGTGAACTCGGTGTAGAGCTATTCACCCTGAGGTCATCACAGAGGATAAGGGGGCACCCTTTACGTCTGGAGGAAAATAAATGTAATCTCCAAACACGGAAAGGTTTCTTCACAGTGAGAGCTGTGAAAATATGGAATAGACTCTCTCAAGATCTGGTTCTGGCCAATTTAGTGGATTGCTTTAAAAAAGGCCTGGATTGTTTCTTAGATACACAGAATATAAATGGATACTAAAATTTATAGGTAAAGTTGATCCAGGGAATATCCGATTACCTCTCGGGGGATCAGGAAGGAATTTTTTTCCCTGTAGGAGCATATTGGTTTATGCTTTGCTGGGGGTTTTTTTTGCCATCCTCTGGATCAACTGTGGGTATATGATTATAACTTTTTTTTTTTTTAATGGTTGAACTGGATGAACTTTTGTCTTTTTTTCAGCCAGACTAACTATGTAACCACATAGCTACTGAGGTTCAGCATTTTAATCTGGCCAATGCCTAGTTATTTAACCCATCTGGTGGGACTGTACCTTCCGTAAAAATCTTCAAAGATGTAGTCTTGAGAGGTTTGGAGAGTTTTAAGGTTAAAACCCCTAGAATGCAACAAAATTTGGAGAAGGGTATAGAACAACTTTGTAACTGGAAAGATTTGGTGGTTAGACCAGCAGATAAAGGGGGTGGGGGGGGGGGGGTGGTGGCATCACGCATCTGTAATTGTCAGGACCCCAGTGGTTCCGTAATTGTCAGGGACCCCAGTGGTTGCCGTGATTGCGTGTGGGTCTGCGCATGTGCGGTGTGCCCGGCCGCACTAGCATGCGAGCATTGGGACCAGGGCACCCGCGATTGCAGCGGCGCTCGTGCATGCGCACTCGTGATCGCGAGCCTGGCACCAATCAGGGCACAGGGCGCCCTATTTAAAACAGGATTAGACTGCAGTGAATTGCCATATGGTCTTACCTGTTTCCTGAGTTCCTGATTAGTAGATTGTCTTGTTGCTGACCCTGCCTGATCCTGATTTGCTGTCTGTCTCCTGCTCTGATCCCTGGCTTGTTGTCAAGGTCCTACGTTTTCCCATAGGTTATGCTGCTCCATGTGCTGGCATCCATCTTGGGTTTCTGCAAAGCATGGGGGAGCCTTTTATGCTTTCAGGCCTCTGCGGTCCATCCCCTAGAGGGGTGTGGTTGAGCATATTTAAGCCTGTTGTCTGCACGTGCTCTTTGCATTCGTGCCGTTTGATAGTGTTGTTGCAAGCTCTTGTTATACTCTCGTGGCTCTCCTGGAAACTGACTGACTTTGTCTAAGACTATTCTCAGCCTTATCCCTTTATCTGACCTCCCGTTGCTGAACCCGGCTTGTGACCTGTGTATTCTTGTCTACCGTTCTGTACTGTCTATCCCGCTGTATCGACCCGGCCTGTCCGACTACGCTATCGTTCTTTCTGGTTCCTACCAGCTATACGCCATTGGCAGCGGGCCATTACCGCAGCTGGGGTTTCTCGGGGGCCGCGACCTGGTCCCTGGCTGCGTCAAGTCCATCCCCACCATCAGGGGCCCTGGTGAAGGGCAGCCTGGGGCTTAGACTCCACGCCCTGAGGGACTCTGGTCTGTGGGTGGTGGTTGTCGTCAGTCGGTGCGTGACCCTGCCATTAGGCCTGCCTGTCCATTCCACAGCTCCGGCCCTGGCACTTGTCTGACCATTCTCCTGCTTAACCCTGCACGTTCTGATCTCCTGTTAATGAACCTGGCTTGTGACCTGTTTATCCTTCTGCCTGCTGACTTTGTACTACGCCGCCACCACTGTTACCGACCCGGCCTGCCCGATGCTGCTCTTGTTACCTCCTCACATCAGACTCTCACCTGCTATACACCTCCAACGGTGCTTCTACCACAGCTGGGTGAACCCAGGGGCCGCGACCTGGTCTCGGCCTGCTCCAAGTCAATCCCCACCATCAGGGGCCCTGGTGAACAAGCAGGTCGGGGATTAGATTCCGCGTCCTGGAGTAGTCCGGTCTGTGGAGGGCTAGAGGCTACCGCTGTAGGATCCCTGACAGTAATGTCCAAAGTGGGCAAATATATAGACTTTTACCTCCAACCTTTAATTAAAAAATGCTGTCCTATCTCAAGGATACATGTCACACACAATTAATTTGCTTAAGAACCAACACTATACACCGTGTTCCAAATTATTATGCAAATTATATTTTTCTCATTTACCTAAATAATTGATGTAAATAACAGTCAGCATAATTCTCATGTTATCAACTATTAAGAGTTCAATTCAAATTTTATTGAACAAACCTCCTAATGATAACAGTATTTTTTTTAAACATAAAACACTTACAATGCACTGTTCCAAATTATTACGCACAGTAAGTTTCAAAACACTTTATAGGTTGTAAAGAACTGAAAATTGTCATTTGTTGTGTTTGCAGCATATTTACTGAAATCAAAAGCTATTTCAATCAAACTTTTAACAACATTTTACCTTTTTAAACATTTTAACAGGTCACGTTACATTTTAACATAGGACCCCTTATTTGATAGCAGCTTCACAAGTCTTGCATCCATTGAATTGTGAGTGTTTGGACAGTTTCTGCTTGAATTTGTTTGCAAGATGTCAGAATAGCCTCCCAGAGCTGCTGTTTGGATGTAAACTTCCTCCCACCCTCATAGATCTTTTGCTTGAGGATGCTCCAAAGGTTCTCAATAGGATTGAGGTCAGGGGAGGATGGAGGCCACACCGTGACTTTCTCTCCTTTTATCCCCATAACAGCCATTGATGCAGAGGTATTCTTTGCAACATGAGATGGTGCATTGTCATGCATGAAGATGATTTTATTACGGAAAGCATAATTCTTCCTTCTGTACCAAGGAAGAAAGTGGTCAGTCATAAAATTCACATACTTTGCAGAGGTCATCTTTACACCTTCGGGGGGCTCTAAAGGGGTGGACCCGCTCTGTTCCCATGATTCCGGCCCAAAACATGACTCCACCACCGACTTGCTGACGTTGCAGCCTTGTTGGAACAGGGTGGCCGTCCACTAACCATCCACTACTCCATCCATCTGGACCATCCAGGGTTGCACGGCACTCATCAGTGAACAGGACTGTTTGAAAATTAGTTTTCATGTATTTTTCTGCCCAATGCAGCCGTTTCTTCTTGTGAGCATTGGTTAGTGGTGGCTGAATAGAAGGTTTATGCACAGTTGCAAGACTCTGGAGGACTCTACACCTTGATGTCCGTGGGACTCCAGAGGCACCAGCAGCTTCAAATATCTGTTTGCTGCTATGTAATGGTATTTTAGCAGCTGCTCTCTTGATCTGATGCATGGATCTGGCAGAAATCTTCCTCAATGTGCCTTTATCTGCACGAACCCGTCTGTGCTCTGAATCAGCCACAAATATCTTAATAGTGCGATGATCACGCTAACGTTTTCGTGAAATATCTAATGTTTTCATACCTCGTCCAAGGCATTGAACTATTTCACTCTTTTCGGCAGCAGAGAGATCCTTTTTCTTCCCCATATTGTTTGAAAATGGTGCTCTGCTTAATAATGTGGAACACCGTCCTTTAGTGTCCGAGATTGTTTTCAGTGATCAAAAGAGCCCTGACACACAATGCCATCCATGAGTTAAACTGAAAAACAAAATATTTCATCTTTGTGTCACTTAAATAGAATTTGCATAATAATTTGGAACGCGGTATAGAGAAGGATTTTGGATGGTGAACACTGATGTCACACCGTTATACACAATAATAGCTCGCCATTTGGGTTTTGATGCTGTAGAATATTATTTAAATCATGACTCTAATTTATCACTACAACAAAAAGAATTTATTATGGTATTGGTAAAATTTGCTTCTTCACATAATTATTTCTGGTTTGGAGGAAATTACTTATTACAAAACAGGGGGGTATGCCCCCAGCCTGGCAAATCTTTTTATGACCAAGTGAGAGGAGGATGTCATCTTTGCACAACGCTGACCTGAACTGGCCCTTTGGACCAGATACATTGATGACATCCTCCTCCTTTGGGAAGGCACATATTAATCTCTCCAGTCTTACATGGAAACTCACAGGAAAAAATGATCAAATAATAATTTTTAATTTTAAGGCTACCCAGACAGATATTCACTTCCTTGATTTGAGAATTACTCAAAAGCCCAGACCCTGGTGGCCTTCCAGCTTACTACCAATGGGGTACCACTATTCAAAAAAGGGCAGAGACATATACCCGGGAACTACAGACCAGTCCGTCTAACATCAATTGTATGTAAACTAATGATAAAGGGATGATAAAGGACTATATCCAAGAATTTTCTGAAGAAAACAGTATAATTAGTAGTAATCAGCATGGATTTACAAAAGGTCACACTTGCCAAACCAATCTGTTAACATTCTGTGAGGAAGTGAGCAGCCATCTAGATAAAGGAGAGCGGTGGATGTAGAGCACGTGAATTTTGCAAAAGCATTCGATACAGTTCCACCTAAATGTTTAATTTACAAACTAAGATCTATAGGTATGGACAGCAGAGTTTGTTCATGGATATAAAACTGGTTACAGGGACGCGTCCATTGGGTGGTTATAAATAGTGAGTACTCAGACTGGACTTAAGTGGTAACCAATGTACAAACATAGGATGCGGCGCTAAGAGAAGTCACATAAATTAATGTTGTATAATTCTAGCATCAGGAGAATAAGTCCTTAGGAAAAACCTATACGGTGCAGCGTGACAATGGTGATGAATAAAGCATGAAGATAGTGACTTTCGTGGCTGTCATGGCTTATGGAAAATGAATGCACATTGCAGTAACCAGATAGCACAAGTACTGTGCGTTGGAGTAAATAAGACCTACTCCACGGTGCTCAGGATTTGGGAACTCTGTATAGGGATGAAGTCATCAGGCAGGGATTAACCACCAGGTGTCATCTATCCAGGACAGGTTACCCTTCTCCAATATCACCACATTAGGCAGACCAGGTATAGCAGTATCCAGCAGTATCAGTCTTGGCCACAAGAGGGATCCCACAATCAAGCATGGATCCAATGTGATATAGCACCTTAGGGAAGGGGGCTCAAAAGTGCCAATAATGAGCCCCCCAAAAAAAAGCTCCAATAGTGTAGTATTTTAATATTCATAATGAGGTAATAGCAGAAAAAATGATAAACATACACTTACATGCCAAAAATCCAATATGGTTGCGTAAGCATACATAGTGCCATGCGGTAGGTGAATGGTGATTAGGGGCAACTCCCTAACGCGTTTCATGTCATAACACTTTATCAAAGTGAGCAGAGCCTGTATTGAATCAATCCTTATATACTGTATGGCGCGCATGCGCCATTGTGCCTTGCCGAGTCATCACGGACTTTTCGCGCATGCACATTACGCGTGAGCGGCGGCCATTTTGCCGGCTATGGGTAATAGAGCCCAATCCATAGTCGCGCATGCGCAGTAGGCGCCGGCGATGGCCATATTGTTATAGGAAAATGTAATGTCAGATACTGAAGCCCGTATCCTGATTGCAGGAAAGGAGTGTCATTGCAGCTAGGGTTAAAAAAGGCTTCAAAAGTGTAAATTAAAACACCTCTTCCTACCTATTACAGGGTAAAAGGTTGAGTGGTATGATAATCATGATCTGATGTTCTATTAATAAATCATGCTATGGAGTATTTTCAATGTTTCACTTCAAACACCCCCTATGGGTCCAAGTAGGTAAAGTTGATTAAATACATCGCTCCATTCAGATAACAGCAAAAATAAAGATTAATAAATTATATAAAACAATGAACCATGGAACATGTATGAAATTCTAACATGAGCATTACAATAAATCCAGAGGTATAGAGGATACAACATTCATATAAAATGTGCATCCCATTAGACATGCTACTCCACTTTTTAATCATAGATTAAGTATAAAAACAAGAATAAAAAAGCAAAAATAAAATAAAGTAAAAACACTAAGGCCTGAACCTTAAAGTGTATGTTCCGAACCCATTCATTAAAATTAAAATTAAACTTACAATTAAAAGACCATAATAGTAACAATGTATAATAAATGTGTGATGAAACCATCAGGGTCATATTCTGAAGTATAAAACAAAGGGATTGGTAAAAAATTGAAATCCCATAATAATGTACTAGTAAATAATGAATATACAAGACATATGTATAAAAAGGAGGCAAACGCAGGTATAAAATTATCCTCCACACAAAACTTGGTGATAAACGCATGACATATAACTTGGTGATAAACGCATGACTTTGCCTCAAGTCAAACAGCTTATATGATAAAAACAAAAAGGCCACTATGAAAAAAGTAGGGATACAAATACACACCATAGAACCCTGGGGGGAAGAATTTTAGCTGGTGTCAATAAAACAATTTAAATCTAAATCGATATTCAGTCCGTGAGGCGAAAGTGTTTGCATGCTTGATTGTGGGATCCCTCTGGGGGCCAAGACTGATACTGCTGGATACTGCTATACCTGGTCTGCCTGATGTGGTGATATTGGAGAAGGGTAATCTGTCCTGGATAGATGACACCTGGTAGTTAATCCCTGCCTGATGACTTCATGACTACAGAGTTTCCCAAATCCTGAGCACCATGGAGTAGGTCTTATTTACTCCAACGCACAATACTTGTGCTATCTGGTTACTGCAATGTGCATTCATTTTCCATAAGCCACGACAGCCACGAAAGTCACTTTCTTCATGCTTTATTCATCACCATTGTCACTCTGCACCGTATAGGTTTTTCCTAAGGAGTTATTCTCTTGATGCTAGAATTATACAACATTAATTTATGTGACTTCTCTTAGCGCCACATCCTATGTTTGTACATTGGTTTTCACATTGGAGGCATTTGAGGTTTCCTCTGGATGCTGGCTGCTTTTTACCATTTATTACCCAGCGCTCATTTATTATCAACATTTCTATGGACTTAAGTGGTAAGTGGGGTACCACAAGGCCCTATCCTGGGGCCAATTCTGTTTAACTTTTTCATAAATGATATAGAGGTTGGTATAAAGAGCTCAATCTCAGTATTTGCT